AATTAGGGTAAAAACATTCTTAATCCATACCAAACAAGCAAGGTTGAGTGTCAGAAAGGTTGGAATTAAAATTAGAAAGGGGTCGGGAATAAATTTTATCTAAGGTCTTTTAACATTCAAGCTCCGAATATTGCGTAAAAACTTATTATGAAAATAGTTGACAAAATTAAGACTAATTACACGACCACCCAAGCCCAATGTTCGGTTTGCGCTAAATTATTAGATGGACTAATTAATAAAGGCTACATTAAAAATAGACATGATGCCCGCTTTTGAGGTTTACCCGAAAAGAAAATTTTATGTGGTAATTGCCTAGGGTTAAGAAAAGCAGAAATGCCCGCTCGCAAGTGCTATTTATGAAATGAATATCAAAAAAGAGGTTATTGAGAAAAAGAGTGTGTTTAATTTTGCGGTAAAATTGGATGTTATTGCAAAATTAATTAATGCCCAAACCCAAAGACCCACGATTTAAAGATAAAGACACCGAGATTTTTATCATGGTGAAAGAGTTCTCAAATTCCAAGAAATTAGTCGCAGTGATAAACAAGAGGCTCACCGGAAAGTGGTCTTAATTTGCCAAGCCAAAAGTTGATCCGAAATCACTCTGTATTTTCCTTATGGTGCCAGCGGTGGTCGGTTAGAAAAAGTTGGCAAAGACCAACACAGTATCCGTTTAAGCAAAAAATATCGCTTATTATTTTATTGGGATAAAGAACAAAAACGGGCTTATGATATTTGGATTGACCCTCATAGTAAAAAATATGGCAAGTAAAATTAATTATTATGGTTCGAGATAAAGATTTACACCCCATCCATCCTGGCGAGATATTGCGGGAAGAATTATTAAAAACTTATCAAATTACTCCCCAACAATTAGCGAAAAGTATTAAAGTCGAGGAAAGTATTGTTAAAGAAATAGTAAAAGAAAAACGGGACATTACTCCGGAAATTTCTTATCGTTTGGGTTTATATTGAAAAGTGCGCGAGGATTATTGGTTAGATTTACAGAAGCATTATGAATTAGAATGCTGGAAAGAACAACAAGAATTAAAGAAAATTGTTCGGCAAATTCAGCCAATAAGCATTGAGAAAAGGGCTGAAATTTAACTATGAAAATACTTTTCGTGTTGAAAAACAAAAATAAAATTAACCTAGTAGGATTAGTAAAATTAAAATCCTTATATAGTTTGTGTTAACAAAAGAAAAAGACCAAAAAGAAATAATTACTTACCACCTTCGCCCATTAGTTAAGCCAATTATCGTTAATGACCGCCTAATTAAATATGTTGGCATTAGTTCTCATTGTGATAAACATTTATCTCATGGTATTACACGAGAATTAGTTATAGAGTTAGTAGAATTACTGAATACTCGTTATTTTCCTTTTAGTGGCAAGCAAGGAAAGCAAAAAAATTATTTTAAAGATTATCCCGAAAAAGATGGTAAAAGATATAAATTAGTTTGGTGATGGTGAAAAGAGACAGATACTTATTTGTGAGTGCGGACTTGTCATCCTGATTATGAGTAAAATAACAGTATAGCACAATAATATCTGAATTATGACAACCAGCAAAAAAATTACTGAGGAAATTATTAAAATGCCACTTGACCCCAAGGAGGAGAAAATTTTTCAGTGAGTAGAAAGTGATAATTGTTTAGGAAGTTGAATGCCAGGTGAGAATGCTAGTGTTAGTGAAAAAACTAAATATCAATTTAGCCAAGTCATTACTCGTTATTTGGTTAAAAATAATCTTTCGGAATCTGAAATGTCCCAAAAATTAGGTTTAGATAAGGACACAACAGCTAAATTATTGCGGGGGTATGTAGAAAATTTTTCCTTGGATAGTTTAATTGCTTATGTAGATAAATTACATTTACCTTTACAAGTAAAAATTACCGAAGCAACTAGTTCGGTGAAGCAGAGAAAATTAGTAGAGCGGCATTTATAAAGCACAAACGCAGATGTGCGAAAAAGGGAAAAAGGGAGGACTAATCCTCCCCTTCCGGACATTCTTGGTGTTCTACGGCTTTTAATCAGAAGTTTAAGCCGTAAGTGGTTAGGTAGCGTCCCAACCGCTCGGAAAAAAACTCCTCTTTTTCAACTTCGTTAGCGTAGTCGCTAACTCAGAGACGATAATTGCCTTTTGAAATGTCCTGCTCCGTAATGGCTTGCTGACAAATGCCGCAGGAAAATTCTTGTAAATATTACTTAAATATGACTAAAAAAACCCGTGACATCAAAAGGAAAAAGAAAAAACAACCACTCCGAAGAGGAGAAGAACACACTAAAAAAAGATAGTTATGCCAACCAAAGATAAAAAACTATTACTCAATCCAAACCCACTCATAAATCTAACTTACTGAAAAATAAACCTAGTAAGAAAAAGAAAATAGTTAAACCCAAAATAACGAAAAAGAAAAGAATTAAACCAAGGAATAATAACTTGTAAATCTATTACTGCATGCAAATTAAATTTCCGCTTTTGGCAAATAAAACTTGCCCTTATGTTTTTTATAAAACATTCCATAACAAAACATTATTAAAAAGCGGAAAATAATTTTGCATAAAGTAATACATAGTGAGGGATAAAAGGAACTATCATTATATCGGCTCGTTTGAGATAAGTTTCCGAGCCACCGCTTACTCCGGCAGTATCGATAATTTGATAATCAACTGGTAAACGAGACGAGACATGATTATATGATATGTTATTTTGGCATCTTACTTAACCTTTTTATTTTTTTCTCAATGTTTAAGTTTTCTTTTTAAAGTATAAAATAAACATAAAATCGAAATAATAATAACCATTGAAATTAGCAAGAAAATAATTTTAACCGGATGCTTGCTTCATAATTCCTTAACCATTTTCGCCTTATCTTGGCAAAACAACAGGAATCACAAAACTAGTGCAAAAATCACACAAAAAGATAAAGCCGCCCACACCCATTTGAAAATTTTTGCTTGCTTTTTTTGATAATTTGCTCTCTCCTGATAGCATTTTTCACATAGAATTATTTCTTCAGATTCGCTAGAACTGAAAATATACTCAAAACCAGAATTCTTTAAAAATTTACGAGGCGGGTCAGTATTATAAATTAAGTTAGAACAAATATTTCTACTACATCTAGCAATAACTTCTTTTTTTACTTCTTCACCAAACAAGGCTTTTGAAATTTTCTCAGTAGAAACACAACTTAGGCAAATTTTTGTTCCATCTCTTTCCACATATTTTCCCCTATCAATATTCTTATAACATTTAGGGCAATGTAATACATTATCAAACATAATATTGTTAATATTTATATCTACTTAAAAAATCCCTCTATCAAATAAGCACACTTTTTAATAAACCCCTGATAATTATTAAAAATAAGTGAATCCTCAAAAAAAACTTTACTATCTAAAATTTGTTGCTCGTCCTCCAACTCACTAAATTTCAACTCGGCTCCTTTTTCCTTAACTACTTGAATAAGTTCACTGCTAGTTCTTAACTTATTGCTTTTAAATAATTCTTCGCAATTAATATTAGCAAAATCTACTAAAACCAAGAGAGTTTTGAGTGGTGAATGTAAATAAATGGTAGTGTCATCTTGGGAAAGAACCTGATATTTTTCCAAATGGTTTAAACTAACTTTCTCGAAATTCTTAATAATTCTTTCCTTATTTTTCTCCTTGTAGAAGTAAGGAGAACGAGAAAAACAAATAACTATCTGAAAGTAAAGGATAGTATTAGCCCGAATATTAGCAGTTTCTCCTAACATATTCTCAAAATAATTATTGGAGTTTTGCCGGTAATTACTCATAATGAACTTAATCCCAATTCCCGCCACTGGCCTTTCTCCTTTCATTATCGCTATATCAACTCTTTTTTCCATGTATCGACCTTGAATTGTCTTTTCTTTGCCGTGCTTTTCATCCAAAGAATAGACTTGATATTTATCACCTAAGATATTTCGCAAATCCTCCGCAATATGCGGATGGAGAATTTTCAATTTGCCGGTGCCTCGCACTCCTTTAGCTCCTTTTTCTAAATATTTTAAAAAACTTCTTTCTAAACACTTTAAGAATTCTTGGTTTAAATTATTTGATTCTGATTTCATTATATAGTTAAATTATTTTCGTTATTTTTCGCTACTACTGACAAAGAAAGAGAATAATTAAGATATCTATTTAACACTCGCGAATTAATTAAATAATAATTTCCGTTCCGATGTTCCCCGAAAATTTTCACAAACTCCTTAAATTTTTCACTGCGAATATGGCTTTCAATTTCTTTAGGTTCAGTTCCGTTAGGCAAAATATATATTCCGCCATATATTCCCATTCCTTCTGGAACTGACCCAAAATTGACATTACTAACTTCTTTGTTGAATAAACAATTGACATAAATTTTATTTTTGCCGACATCATTGATGGCTTGGGTGCGACCAAATTGTCATCACTTTTCTTTTTCTTTGATTGACCTAGCTTTTAACTGCGATTGAAAATTAAGCAAATATTTTTGCGTGCTTGTTTCTAACTCCGCAAAATCTTTTAGTAAATATCTTTTTGTTTCTTTATCATAGCGATAAGGGAAAACACACTCTTTTGTTTCTCCGGTAGAACTTTTAACTACTTTAATTATATCCGAGGAAGAAAAAGGAAATTTATCAGCAATAAAAATATCATCGGCCAAAGTAGCAAAAGCATTTTTTACCTCACAATAACTTTTTTGTTTTTTAGCAAAAATTTTTTTACTTTCGGGGAATAACTGTTGTTCGAAGACAAATCGGTTTTCAATCATTACTTCTTTTCATTCTAATTCAGTAGTAGAAATTAAATTTACTTTCTCTTTGCCATTATTTTTTAATTCAACTACCGAATAATTAAATTTCTGACTTTTTTGGGAATTATCAAATAAAGCAATTACCGGATAAGTGGTTATGTTGGGAAAAATTTGCTGATGTTTGAAGTTGTAAATACGGACTAATTTTTTTTCTTGGCAAATCTTTTCTCGCAAAATCCTACTACTGGCATTTTTAAAGAAAGAAGGAGTAATGTAAATTAGTTTTCCGCTAGCGTTTAATTGCCGGAAGGACAAAGAATAAAATAGTAAATATAAATTTACCATTCCTTTTAACTGTTGCTGGGAAATAATATTTTTGGTTTGTCCGTTTAAGTTATGAATTTTCACATAGGGTGGATTACCAACCACAAAATCCATTTTTTTATTATAGTCCCCAATAAATAAGGCATCTCCTAGTCTTATGTCATAGTTGGCTGAGAATATAGAATTTAAGTTTTTTAGACAGTTTTTATAAGAAGTAGAGCATATTTCTATCCCATGAATATAAGTTTCTAGACCTTTTTTT